TTTTTTGGTTGCAGCCGTCATTGTTGTTTGGCGGGTCCAGGCTGGGGATTCAAACCCGCCACCTCAGGTGTACGTGACTGGCACCCTAGCAGGTTGAGCCACAGGCGCCGAGCCAACATGTATAAAATTCTTATGTTCAAAGTTATGCATTATAGCGCAGCATCATTTGAATTAATTAATGGCAAAAGACTATAAACAAATCCAATGCCCACTGACAACAACTTGTATAATAAACTATATATATATATAAAATACATAATGCAGCTATTAAAAAGTGAGAAAGGCCTCTATAATATATTGATGAGTAGAAAAAAAAGATAGATTGCAAGAAATGTCTAATTGCAACATTAATGAATACTTTTTAAAAAAAAAATAAATGTTTACTATTTAGTCCTTCACAGAAAATGTGTGTTGACCCCTGGTCCAAATAATGGCACCTTACATGTGTCCTTGGTGAGGCTGCAGAAGCACAGACCACATACCTTGTATGTGCAGATGGTCAGTTTCCTCTTCCTAGTTTCAGTGTTTCTCTGCAGCAGCGTATTACACATCTGGAAAACCTGCTGCATGACAGCGTCTTGTCTCAGGTCATCCCGGCCCTTCACATTAATAATTAAACAGTTCAGTTTCTTATAAAAACACAGAGAGTCATTTGAAGATAGCAAAGGGTACTCAGAATCAATCTGAGCATCTTCTTAACAGTTTCTTAAATAATTAAGACCTACTGCCATTCTTTCATTTAGAATAAGATGTAATACTGAGTAGGCAGACTGACTTAGAAAACAAGCTCTCCCTACCTACCATTAGATTGTGTTGTTAATCAAATGACACTGTTTCTAGGCACAGTGCAAATACCCGAGTAAAGCTGCACTGTATCCCTCCATATTGCCCAAAGAGCCCAGAGAGCCCTGAGCAAGCAGTCTGTAAAGCAGAATACTATCCTCTTCTAGTACAATACATAGCTCTCGGCACAGTGTCAGGTCTAGTATACTGAGGTAAAGGACCTCAACTTGTATTATTCTTTTTTTTTTTTTTAGATTTTTTTATTAAATCATGGCTGTGTACATTAATGCAATCATGGGGTACAGTCTGGTGTTTTCACATACAAACTTGTATTATTCAAAGAAATAAATAACAACCACCAAAATATTTTTTCACAAGCGTTAAGCTCAACATTAAATATATCGTGCCTGTACATGTTAACAGTATTTTTAAACTTGAATCAACTGTACAATAATGATGGCCTACTACATACACAAAAAAATGGCATAAAGCTTCCTGTTCTACAAATTAACACATTTCTATTCTATAAGTCTTCCTGATTTTAAATTGTTCAAAATAAAGATCCAAATAAACTAGGAAGAAAATACCAACAAAAGGTTTTTGGTCCCTAACCCACTAAGGCAGTGGTTCTCAACCTGTGAGTCGCAACCCCTTTGGGGGTCAAATGACCCTTTCATAGGGGTCGCCTAAGACCATCCTGCATATCAGATATTTACATTATGATTCATAACAGTAGCAAAATTACAGTTATGAAGTAGCAGCAAAAATAATTTTATGGTTGGGGGTCACCACAACATGAGGAGCTATATTAAAGGGTCACGGTATTAGGAAGGCTGAGAACCACTGCTCTAAGGACTAAGTCAAAGAAAAGATGTCTCACCTTAACAAGCTGTCTTCTTTCCTTGCCATCAGAGCCTACACAATCTATTATTTTTGGTAAATTTAAACCTCCTGCTAAACGAAATTCTGCTTTAAATGAATGTATAGTCACCAGATTTTTATATTCTCCTGTGGGATCCACCTAATAAAAAACAGAAGTTTGATGACAGGTCAGATACACTATTTGCATTTAAAGAAAAATAAATTATAAATATTAATTTTTATATTAAGTATTAATATTAAACAATGTGTTGTAAGAACTGGGGCTATAACTTTACTTGCTTTTTTTTTTTTTTTTTGAGACAGAGCCTCAAGCTGTCCCCCTGGGTAGAGTGTCGTGGCGTTACAGCTCACAGCAACCTCCAACTGCTGGGCTCAAGCGAGTCTCCTGCCTCAGCCTCCCAAGTAGCTGGGACTACAGGCGCCCGCCACAACGCCTGGCTATTTTTTGGTTGCAGCCATCATTGTTGTTTGGCGGGCCCGGGCTGGGGATTCGAACCCACCACCTTAGGTGTATGTGGCTGGCGCCTTAGCCGCTTGAGCCACAGGCGCCGAGCCACTTTACTTGCTTTTTAATAAAAGATTCACTTAGTAATTTGAGAAATAACACAACCCTTCACAAAAATCTAAGGTGATTTTTGGAAAAGGATAAAGTGTAGTTTTCTAGCTTTTAACTGATAAATTTTGTGTTTTCAGGAAATATTCAGCTGACATAGCACCAGTTAATCCATATGATGTAGTTGTATTTCAAATCAAGTAAATACAGATAGTAAGCCCTAAACTGCAATCTCAAAAGAAGAACTTACAAGGTACTTACAATGATCATTTTCTAAATATAACCTTTATTTTATATATATGTGTATATATATATATCCACCTACATGGCATCTCTGGTAATAAAAAATTATCAGTGTGATGACCCAGACCCCTTGATTCCCTGCTAAGATCAGTGGGGAGCAAGCCCCCTACCCTTGAGACTTCTCCTGAGTCTCTCGGTCCCAGCCCCTTCAAGGGTGGAGAAGCTTAAAGATAAGGAAGAGAGAAAGGGAGGGCTTGAGGTCAGAAAAAGCTTGTGGAAAGTCCCAAGTGCTTTGGAAACTTTCTCAACTTGCGCTGAACTACGTATCCCTTATGTGACCCCCGTCTTATGACCAGGAGGTAATATTTACCCCTGTTTTGAATTTTGTAACCCCTTAATGTGATCTGCTTATATGAGCTAAGTCAGCATGTACTCCCACCCTTAGTTGTGTAACCCTTTATGAGTTAATGTATGTACCTCTGCCTTGTGACCTCTGAGTTGTACTGAGTTGTTATGAGCTAACGCATGTACCTTCACCTTGTGACCACTGAGTTGCTGAGCTGTGCTTGCTTCAGCAAAGATTGCAGTATATAAACCCTTTGAACAGGCCATTCATGGCTGCTTGTTGGCCCACCACGACAGCCCCCTGTAGGTGCACCTGCAGGTGTATCAAATTATCAATAAATTCTATTAATTAATTACATCTGAAGTGGGGTCCAAAGTTTTCTCTTCTGAGTGGGATCATAACATCAGAACAGACCTAAATATATATACAGTCAACTTAATACTACAATAGATGCTTTATTATTTAATATTGTATATCACAGCCAATACATTCCACTGCATAAAGAATTTTAAAAAACAATATATAGAACTAGGAAATTTCTTGCCAAGTCAAAAATTAATCTTGGCATAAGCACATGGAAGCTTTCTTTCTTCTGGCCAATGAAGACAGTCTGGAGAACTTCATAAGAAAGACTGGGAGATATAAAACTGAAGAAAAAGAAAGCAGGAATATTTTAGGGCTTAAATAAAGAGAATTGAATATTGAAATACTATAGGTTCAAACACAAAACATTGCCAATATTTAATCAATTTTGATCTACATAAAAAGGCTATTTCAAATGGTTCAATCTAATAAAGACAAATTTAGTTTAATTAAAAAAATTAAAGAGGGTGAGCACCTGTGGCTCAAAGGAGTAGGGTGCCGGCTCCATATGCCAGAAGTGATGGGTTCAAACCCAGCCCCCGGCCAAAAACTGCAAAAAAAAAAAAATTAAAGAGTTAATGAGGACTTACCTTAATTTCCATAGTAGGCACGACGACATCTTCTAAGTTCTTAAGTTTAGTAATCGGTTGGTCTGTTGGAATACTTATGCCTTCTGCATTTAAAAATGAAGAGCTATTTTAGTGACAACTGCAAACTGGGGAGGCAGGAATATTCAGCAGATGCCACAGGCCCCAACTTGAGGTTAATCTATAGTTTAGGCCCTGATTAGGAATGAAGACTCAGGGCTTTGGCCCATACGCAGCTCAAGGTCAGAACTTAAGAATGGTTAATGTGACTTACAAATTACTTTGCAGGTTATCTGGGCCTGGTAATTAGACCATACTCTACCTGAGGGACTAGACTGAGCATCTTAAATTAATTGTATTAATACTTAGCTTAGCATATAGATAACATACTCCTGTGACATTACTATCAAATACAACTAAAAGACATGACAATACTCTTTGTTTGCTTAGAGAAACACTATGTGAAGTCCCATTCTTATTTTAAAGTAGTAAGAATTTAAACTTGAAGATGTGATTCTAATTTTAAAAATTCATAATTATTAAATTATGGGGAGATACTCAGAAGCAAATACACACTTAGAGACTAGTCATAAACCAAATATTAGAGGAGCTTATAATCATCTGAACTGAAACAAGAAGAGTGGTTAAATAAAGGTATTTTATTTTAGTACCTACAAAAAAAATGGTAAGGTGTCTTTAAGTTCCTGGGCACCAGTAGAGAATAACTACTATCATTAAAAAAAAAAACAAAAACAACTGTAATTTTCTCCCCAAGAAACTGTGACCCTAGAAACTCTCAGTTTTTCAGTTACTTTAATAGGCTTACCTCTATGCAATTCTCTGCAACAAGTTTGTGCTCCAGAAAATTACCAGAAGACTAAATTACCAGATGACTATTTAACATAGTCATCTATTATCAGTTCCACTAAGAGATATTATGTGACAAAGTGACTAGGGAATGTTGAAGCTATTAAATAAAAATTAAGTTTAACCACCAGAATCTTTGCATTTATAGAAACAACACTGTTTGTGATTTTAAATAGATTTACTCATTAGGCTCTATAATTACTATAACCCTACAAAGAACAACATAGCAGGAAAGCAACATTCATTCTTTTAGACACATACTTCTCTGAGTCTTCCACTGAGTGGCATCTAAGTTTGCTAATATAATATAAGCATCACAAAGGGCCTCAACACTTCTGACCATCTGAGGTCTCCTACTTCTGATTGTACGTATTATTTTGTTTGCAGCCTCCATTCTGTCCTATTAACAAAAAACAAACAAAAGCCATTACATAAGGAACTGTCCAACACCTAAACTTCTAATTTATGTACAAATCTAGACAATAAGATGACTATAATTCCTCAGATATAAATGAAACAGTCATCTTAGGAATGAAATACATCAAAAAGTACAATACTCTTATAGTCAATGACTTAGGTCCCTTTTGAAAATCTATTTTTGGCAGGGCACAGTGGCTCATGCCTGTAATCCTAGCACTCTGGCTGAAGTGATTGTACTGCTTGAGCTCAGGAGTTCGAGACCAGCCTGAGCAAGAGCAGGAACCCCATCTCTACTGAAAAAAAAAAAAGAAAGAAAGAAAAGTTAGCAGAGTGTTGTAACAGGCACCTGTAATCAATCCCAGCTAGTTGGGAGGCTGGGGTAAGAGGATCAATTGAGCTAGGAGTTTGAGGCTGCTGTGAGCTGTGATGCCAAGGCACTTTAGACTGCAGCAAGAGAGTGAGACTCTGTCTCAAAAAGAAAAAAAAATCTATTTTGGGGTAAAGAATGAGAAATTACTTAATGGATACGTACACTATCTGGGTAATGGTTACATTAAAAGCCCAGACTCCACCACTAGGTAATATACGTATAGAATAAGGCTGTATTTTTGCCCTTTAAATTTATTAACATAAGAAAAAATTTATATTCTGCCTTTGTCTAGCGCTATAAGAGGGGAAAGTAAAATACTACTGGTATCTCCTATGCTTTGGTAGATATTCAAAATTGATGAACCGGGTTTAGTTGGCATTATAATAACAAAGAATTTTTAAGAAGAAATATTCTGGGAAAAAATGAATATCACAATTTAAAAAGATATGTATGGTTAATCCAATACCTCATCAAGCTGAGAGCTCTGCTTAGGTGCACTTTTAGTCATTCTACTCCTTCTTGCTGCCTCTGGTTTGGTCAAAAATTCATCTTTGTTTGCATTTGCTAAGGCCAATATAATAAACAAAGTATGATGGGCGTGATCCATGGAAATTCTAGAGATGAGCTGCCAGGAAATTAAGAACTATTAGATTTATTCAAGTAAATAAAAAAAACAAAAATTCACAACATTTTTCATTCTGCTTAACATTACAATGTATGTTACTGTCTAGACACTGCAGCGAGTAGTGTGTGTGCATGTCTGTACGGGAGAAAGAGACAGGGAGGCACATGAGAAGTAAGAGGGAAGCAAGTAACTTATGTGGAGTGAGAAGAGACATTTCTCAAAGAGAAATGGCAGTATTTACTCTATATAATAATATAAAAGAAAAGCAATTATTGTGTTTTGATTTTCAGGTTTACTTACATTATTGAGGACTTCGTGAAATCCTAGGCCTCCCATCATTTTGGTCCCCATTCTAGCAGCCAATTGGTACATAAGAGGCAAAAATTTATATGATGGAATCTTCATTCCATCTCTCTACCATTAAAAAAAAAAGAAACAATGTATTTCAAATATTCTCACATGTAAGCAAACAAAATATTCTGAAATAATGCTCCTAGAATATCACCTAGTGGTTGTTAAAACTTCACTAATTATATTTTTTCTTTGTCACTTATCCTGTCACTTATCCCACTTATCCTATCTTTCTAGTGGGTATTCTATAGTTCGAGTCACAAGTAAATCAAAATACTTGGTCATAAATTAAATTGTATTCACAACGGAAGCATTTACCACTGTTTATATTCCAGTGAATCCAAGGAGGACAAATGCAGATAGGAATACTACTGGATTCTGACTCCTGTGAACTCACAGTATAATAAGATGGAATAGTTATTTTTCCCTAGAGGCCAAAAGTAATAGGATTTTGTGTATACTACAGTAGAGATTGATTGTATCTATTATTAGTCTTATTCTTTTCATCCAGGAGAACCACTTACCTTCAACCTTGAAACTAACCTTCAAATTGACTGACAATATACATCTTGTCAATCTAACTTCAATGTTAGTTGTCATCACTAAAATCCAACATTTTAAAATAAAAACTTATGAATACTGCTGTTCTGGTATTTTCTTAAGAATACCCTTTTTCCATTTATAAAAGTAATATATTATACAATTCCCCAGAAAAGCATAAAGCAGGGAGGAGAAACCCATCTGAGATTATATCATCTTTAATAGCTTTCTAAATCCCCCAAGCTGGAGCCCCGCTCTGGGCACGCTCTTGTGGGAAATGCAAAGATACAGGACTAAGCTAAATTATCTCTCTTACACACAAACCTGCATCATCTAGAGCAGTGGTTCTCAACCTTCCTAATGCTGTGACCCTTTAATACAGTTCCTCATGTTGTGGTGACCCCCAACCATAAAATTATTTTCGCTGCTACTTCATAACTGTAATTTTGCTGCTGTTATGAATCGCAATGCAAATATTTGATATGCAGGATGTATTTTCATTGTTACAAAGGGGTTGCGAGCCACAGGTTGAGAACCGCTGATCTACAGCTTATTAAGCATCCAAAGGACTGAACCAAGTGCTAGGTATACAAAGGGGTATACAAATCCCTGACATCAAGGGGGCTATGTCTAAGTTTTTCAAGCACAGGCTAGAATATCGGGTTGAATAAGACTTGCCTTCATCATGCCATTGACTTCAGAAACTCCAGAATTTTCAAGCCAGAGGGAACAAAGCCGAAATACCCACATATCATGTTCTTCTCCACTTAATAAGCAATTGATGTAATTTTCAACTGCTTTACATAAGAAGCGTTTACGATCCTCTCTCAGCGCATGGAGTGCACATTCATCCAGCTCCAGCTCTCGCTGAACTTTTACTGTGTATCTTGCATTGGATAATTGAAGGGAAATGCAAAAGCCATAAAATTTTGCAAAATTACAAAATCATATGTAATATACAACATAATTAGAAAATCAGATGTCCATCATAGAAGAAGAAGGAAAATCTTAAAGATTACAAAATATAAAGGGAACTAACTTACTTTTGTCTTAATTGTGCAACTCGCACACAAAAGGACAAAGTAGACTCTACCCAAGCTCTTCAGTTAATTTATTTTCTCCTCATACTCAAATGCAGGCTTAAATAAAGGGACTTACTTACATCAAAATAGGTAACTCTTTTGCATTTATTTTAACACCTATCCTTTTTTCCACTGTGATACTAACAAAGAAACAACAACAAAAAACCCCCCAAAAAGCCAACATCTACATATTCTACAATAAGCTTAGAATCAGGGTATGAATTCCATATAAAGGAACGTGTCAATATCTTATATACTGATTTAAGTTGTGATTAACCACAATAGGGAGAAGACTATCTGTATGTACTTATGCCAAGCTCTGATCAGAACTGTGTCAGATGAAAAGATCAAGCCACACTTTCTTGGAGATACCTTTACTCAGTAGACATGAAATTGTTACTACTTGTAGACACCTAGTTACCTGCTGGTCTGAATTTTATGTTCTCTGAGGAGGCCCACTTCCTCTTTGGCCCTTTTCAGGAGAGCTTGCTTGTTTTCAAATTCTGATGATTTCATGTAGTTTTCAATTCTTTGGTACTGAGTATCTGAGAACCGGGCTAATGAGAGAAATGCCTTCATCTTTCCATTTCTTAGCTCATCATTGCTTTCTCCATCACAATTTCCAGCAACTTCCACTGCCTTCAAGAAAACACAACCATTTAAATTATATTTACAACTAAACACAGGGCTGGGAGTGGTAGGGCTCATGCCTGTAATCTGAATACTCTGGGAGGTTGAGGCAAGTGGAGTGCCTGAGCTCAAGAGTTTGAGACCAGCTGAGCAAGAGCAAGACCCCATCTCTAAAAGTAGCCAGGCATTATAGCAGGTGCTGGTAGTCCCAGCTAATTGGGAGGCTGAGGCAAGAGAATCACTTGAGC